TGTATACGTGTGTGTGTATATATATAGGGGTATGTACTGTCTTAATAACTTCTGAATCAACTTAAACAAAGGCATACGCATAAATGAGGGCATGAACGCCCAAAAGGTCGGTAGATCAATATATAAACGAAAAAAACCAAAGACGTAAATACATAAATACATCGATAGATCGTGGATAATAGACAGAAAGAAATCTTTTTAGAAAGAATCATGGATGGACAGAAAGACGGACAGGCAAGCAGGCACAAAGACTGAATAAGTACATGCATGAACAAAAAAGTATGCAACTGTATATATATATATACACACAGATGTAAGTATAGTTATATATCTATATATGTAGATATGTGTGTCTCTTGATGTCATCCCCGCACACATTTTCCACATACAGGCTGTAGGCAGAAGTTGAAGATATGACCAGCGCTTTGCCGTGAAACAGGACCATGCAACGTTGATTTCCCAATAGCTTGCCACCGGAAGGGCGCCAAATACGAGAAAGACAAACCTTCGCACAACATCCGCCGAAGTTGTCACATGAAGGCCGAAGGGTGGCACACAAAGCTCAGAGGCTTTTGCTGATGCAGCCGAGGCAGTCTCAGCTCGGCAGTTCTCCAGCAGCTGAGTCATCCTTCTTCGTCCCAGAAAGCAGCTTGGTGTCAGTTGAGCTCGATGTGCAGTTGCGAATCAACGTGGGATTTTCTGGTTACCGTAAGCCCAGCTGAAGCTGGTGGAGCTGGATCAGACCCTTGATTGGGTGTGCGGTATCTGTTTGGTTATGAAGTTTGGCTTCTGCATCGCCAGGCACGCCCATCCGCAACTTCACAACTATCCTCGCATGGTGCTCAGTCTATCAGCACCCGGCCACCAATTGACTGGGAACTACCCCCGGCCTGGCTACTGTGTTTACAGCCGAAGAGTTTTGCAAAAGTAGTTTTCGAAGAACGGCATGAGTGTCATGCGCATGCATTGTTCTTAACTCCATCTCACCCTTCATAGTCGCTGTGGTGATTTACAGAGCATTTTGTCATTGCCCGGGGGGGGGTTGACGTGGGTTGTGGGGCCCTACATGTTCCATCTGTGCCGAGCATGTGGCCTCGTGGCTGCGGCCATGGCAGATCGAAGAGGCCCTTGGCCCCATGGCCCTGTGGATGTATGGAGGCTGCATGCGAAGCCCAGCCTCAAAGAGCTGTTCGACTGGCATGCCGTGGATGGACGCTTAGATGGGAGCGGCTTCACCCGCTTGTTGCAGGTGCAGCGAGAGTCAGATGGTTATAAAAACTATATATCAGACGCCTTCTCACGTGTGCTTCAAGCCATTATCTTCAATCTGAGTACAAATGCAACCCTGGAGTGGGAGGACTTCCTATTCCCGTACCAGTACAGTTTTTTCCCACACCGCAGAAAATGGTTTGCAGAGTTCACTCTTTGGAGCTGTCTGAAGGTTCGGAGGCAGACCTTGCCTCAGGGTTCTTTGCACTATCGTTATCTTCCCAAGACGGAGGCGAGGTTTATGGCAGCAGTCGGCCGCAGTATGGTGGAATGGTGTAACGATCATGTGAGCCACCGGGCAAAGATGCCACAGGCGCTCTCGCCACCGCCGCCGCCACCACCACCGCGAGGTGGCTACCAAGAGGAGTCAAAGGCGCTGTCTGTCACAGCCATGCTGCCGCAAGGCTGCAAGATTTGGGGGGCCAAGCAGGCTACAGTGCGCTGTTCCTTTCCTAGGAAGAATGCGGGGCAAAGAGGCCGTTTAGCTGTGTTGGTGACTGGCATCAAGGATCGCTACTACCCTCGAAGCGCTTTCAAGCATGTGGTCGTGCCAGCAGCGCGGGAAGGCTACGAAGTAGATTATTTCGCGCTCTTGGATTGGCAGCCTTCGGTTGCTACCAACCGCATCACTGGAGAAGCCATCGGTGCCTTCAACCCGATGCATGCCGACAACAAGCGCGAGAACAGATCAGTATCAAGCCCCCAATTTGCTAATGCCAGCGTGCGACAAGGTCTCAGCTTGGTCACTCGGCTCGCACGCGCCTCCGGTGCAAGCTTCCTGTACCTTCAGTTCGGCGGTGTGCAGGAAGATCCTCCGCTGCACGGTTGCAACCGCTACCTTGGCCGGGGGAGTGCTGAGGTCATGGACTACAGAAGGACCCGATTTGCCTACAAAACTGTTGAGTTTTTATGGAACCTCACGCTGGAAAGGTCGAAGCGAGAAGGCGTAACTGCCTACACCCATGTGCTTTGGCAGCGAGAGGACGCACATTGGGTCGACGACTTGCGCCTGGAACTTTTCCGGAATCCTTGGGCAGTGTCTGGCATTTCCGTGTACGGCGTTTGCAACGCTGTTCCGAACTTTCCCACAGAAAGCTACATCTCCGACAAAGTCTTCCTAGTGGGCGGAGTAGCCGCGATGTCCTTTTTCAAACTGTACGATCTGGTGAACTGCGGGAATCCAAGCCATGAGCTGAGCCAAGTAGAAAGGCCGGAGCAATTCATCGTTAAGGCCACTCAGGCCTTGGGCTTAGAGTTCCACGAGTTGCCATGGAACTCCTTGCCGGTCATCATCGGTCGACACATGAAGATCTATGGCTATGCAGATATTGCAGTGGTCTTCTGCTTGAAGTTCTCACGATCCTGTCTCTTTCGTCCCAGCGGATCCCGCGTTGCTGCCAGCATCGTGCCATACCGGGGTTGCGAGGAAGTCTCAAGGGGTTTGCACGACCGTCCAAAAGCAAAACTCTCTGCTCCGTGGTTTCATCCTAAAAACGCAACTCTGTGTTGGGCTGCTCTGTTGATGGGGAGCGGGAGCTTTCTCAAGCATGCTGCAGTTCCAAGCCTGCGGAGTTTGGTAGGCGTAGTCGGGATTGTAGATCTCATGGGTTGAGACACGATCCGTTGTGATGTGTACCGGTTGTAAAGTACATACTAAACGCAGATCATGGCAAGTGCAAATAGGGAGGGAGGGGAGGGGAGGCCCTAGCGGCCTGAATGCTCAGTGCTGTGTCAATCTGTGCAGCAGTGGTTCGAAACTTACGCATTAGTCTGTGCTGCTGTTATGTGTATGTATAGGTATAGGTATAGGTATAAGTATAGGTATAGGTATATGTATATGTGTATGTGTATATGTATGTGTATGTTTGTGTATATGCATATGTGTATGTATATGTCATACAGAAGAGGAGGTTGTGGGGCCTGCGCTTTTGCAACCCACTGTTTTGAGTGGTTTCGCATGTTTCTAGTCTGTTGATGGTTCTTGTGGTGCGTGAGCCAATATCAACTTTGAGTTGTTGCAAACCACGTGGTTTGTAAGTAAACACAGGGTTTGTTTATGAACGAAGTTTTTTTAAATAAACTCTGCGTTTTGGCATACCGTGCTTTCACCGGTTTTTGTTTGGATTGGTTCAACCGGCGTCGCCTTCGTAGCCGGGCGGATGGTTTTGCGGACGCAGAAACATTTAAAAGCATGTGCGTTTTTAAGCTGCAGGTCTTCGCAACATCTTCCAACATGACTCAATCGACACCGACATCCGTGAATGTCACAGATCGGGATGAGAGCGTGTCTGCCTGAGCTTCTTTGTTTTCCGGTGCTGGAACTGTGTTCGCACAAGCAGTGCGCACACATACAGGGCGATGACGCATGCTGAATGTGTCGTGTGTTAGTTCAGTGCATGCAAGGGCTTCTCGCAACCTCTCGCAACTTTTCTGGCCATTCCCAGCTCCTGCACGCGTGTTCTGCATCATGCGTTTCACTGACCGGCCATCAGCCGCAAGTTTGACTGCACAATCGCATGTCTACGGTGTCTGCCAACAGGTTTCCAACCTGAGATTCGAGGACTACGATCTGGATAGCTTGGACATAGGTGGTGGAGTGCGCTTCTTAGCATCGACAAGTTGCGTTGCATACGGTTCATCTTATTTGCAAAGATGTCAAAACAACAGCAAGCATTAGTCATAAATGCATAGATGCGAATCGACGACCGTTTCTCATGTTTCGAACTCAGAATGTACAGCCAGCCTTTCCTCTGATCCCTTTTCTGTAGACACTGTGGGTCAAGTGGCACACAGACTACTCTGGTACCCGAGTCCAGCCGCTTATGCAGTGATCAAGCTAGAAGTTGGGGAGGAACCCTTTCATGCAGTTGGTGGTTTGTTTGCTGTTCTGCTCTGCAGCTGAAGGTGAGTGAACGGCCCAGCCGGGCCCAAGCAGAAAAAAAGCACACTCCCTGCACGCACACCAAAAAAGCACCCTCCACCCACAGCGTGTTGTTTTTGCTGTCGGATTTTGTTTGATGCTTTTGAGTTTTTTTGCTGTTTGTGCGGGGCGGGGGGGGGGTTGTGTTTCGGTTGCTGCGTGGGGGTGTTTTATTCTTCGCTGTTGGTGCCCAAGGGGTGCTTGGCAAGAAAACATGCCCCCTCGCACCCCGGCCAAAAAAAACAACCCCCAGCACCCATGCGTATCTGTTGGTGCTGTTTTGCTGTTGGTGCGGCGGCATGTTCTGGTTGCGGCGCCGCAGGCGGGGGGGAGGTTTGGCTGTTAGTGCGGGCGGTTTTCTTGTTGCTGTTGGTGAGGAGGGGTGCATAGCACAAAAGCAGCGCCCCTGCACCAACAGCCAAAAAAGCCATCCCTTCCTGCACCACCAGCAACCCCCCCCCCCCTCCCCCCCACAGCAACAGCAAAAGAACACACCCCCGCAGACACTCACCCGCGGCAGCAGAAGCAAAAACGCATCAGCAGCAAACTACAACACCCGTATATACCCCCTTCAGACATCGGGGTCCGGAGAGATGAGGGCCACTATTTTCAGGCCTGGGCCTGATGAGTGATGAGTCAGGTGAACTGGACTGCTCCGGATCCTCTGGAGGGCACGAAGTTCTACTCCATCCAGCTGGAGTGGGCCCACGGCCCAGACGTTTTAGCCAAGATCGAAGGACGACCGAGTGTGTTTTTTTGGTTCACGTGCGGATATGCTGGGTGCAAGGCACAATGTGGATTCATGCGAGACTCATAGTTGTTAATGTTGTCCGCATTGACACCTTGTTCCTATCTCAGCGCTGGCGGTGGTGCTGATGATTGTCGCGCTGGTGATGACGGTGATGAGGATGATGATTGTGATTAGTATCTATAATGTTACTTTTTTTTATTTTTTAATGTCAATGTTAGTGTTTATAATCAGGACCATGACAAATCGTGAACTAGAGTATGCCATCGATGCTGTTGTTGATGCTGACAAACACTGCTCTTACAGTAGTACCTACGTTGAGGTAGAGGAAAACACCGACGTATACACGGACGACGGCTGTGACGATGTCACATGTTGCGGCAACGATGATGGTCAGATGATGTTGGTGATGATGATGATGATAATGATGATGATGACGACGGCAACAATGACGATGCGGTATTGATGGCGATGATTCGGGCATGCAGCGGATGATGTTGACGGTGACACCGATGAAGACGAGCACGATGACGGAGACGATGATGGCAATGGTGGTTCAATCGCGACGAGTATGGTGCCGATTGGCGTTGTTGCACTTGTGGTGCGACCGCTACAAGTACTGTTCATGTCAACTTACTGCCATCTTCCATTCATGTATCGTCATTCACGTTGTCTCTGCCCAGGATCGAACCTTCGAATACCGGAGCGCCATCGCCGAGGTTCCCGTGGGAGAGGTGGACTACCAAATCCCTGTGGCACCTGGCCTGGCAGGAAGGGGGCATTGTGTTCCATATTCGACTATTAGGGCTGTGATTGGGGAGTGGCATCGGTAAGCGAAAGCAAACAAACACAAGGAGCGGATGCAAAGGGTTGTGTGCTGAACGCTGTGAGTGCAACGAGCTCTTTAGATCGAGTGTTGTGTGTTTTGTAGCTTCGCAATGATGTGGGCACTTGGGCCACTTGGGAGGGACTCATAATCCACCGGTCAAGAACCTCCGCGTCCAAGGACACTTATCTTGGCACCTACCCTTACCTTTACGTGTTCACCAAGCCCCTTGCAAGCACCGGCTTGCTGTGCATGCCGTGATGTTTAGCAGGGGGAGTTCCGACCTGTCGTTCATCTTGAGGAGCACTTGTTTTTTGGAGACCGGTTTGCAGGAAAGCATGTCGAGGTCCTCGCTCTTTGAGCAGACGACCCCGGTGGGCTTGAAGGTGAGTGACACATCACCGCAGATCACCAACATCGAGTTCTCAGATCAGGCTCGGGACCAAACGGTCGGTGAGAGTCAACTCGGTGAAGCAGACATTGGATGCCGACGTGTGAATAGTTGTAGCGGACATCCGCCTGCGGGTATGGGCAGATCGGAAAACCGTCCATGCGAAACATCTCCGTACCCTGTGTCCCGATTCCACGTGGTCAGGTCCGAATTGAAGCCTAAAAGCTCTCAGCGCTTGTCCCTTGTGCCTCTGCCCATCAGCAATGTCCGTTTCTCGGCGGGACAGGGCTCCCTTCGCTTGTCTTGGCCCTGCGCATGCCAACTCCTCACTTGACACGGGGTAGTTGTATTCATCATAGCGCTAATGCCCCAGACGCCGGGACTCCTCTCCGCCTATAGGAGACACGGAGCAAAAAGCACGAGAGATGGTCGATAGGATTCTCGCCACCAAAAGTCGATCACCAATTCCGCAAACCTTTTCTTGAAAGAGGACTTGGACGTGGACGAGATTGGAGGAAATCTGACCTGGACGGAGCCACTTGGTTCCTGATTGTGTGTGGTGCGCATGCCTTGCACATGCACTGACTGTCCGATTTTCTTAGCTGATAAGCCAGTCAGATGGACAGATTCCCGCATTTTTGCAATGCTGTCGTGGATTTCACTATCACTTCTGCCAGTGCTGTTGCTGATTCATTCGAACCACCACTACCACCGCCACCGCCAGCACCACCACCACCGCCGCCGCCGCCACCGCCAGCACCACCGCCACCGCCGCCGCCGCCGCCGCCGCCGCCCCCACCACCACCAGCACCACCACCACCAGCAGCAGCTGCAGCTGCAGCTGCAGTAGTAGTAATTATGGTGGCGGTGGTAGTAGTAGTAGTAGTAGCAGCAGCAGCAGCAGCAGCAGTAGTAGTAGTAGCAGCAGCAGGAGGAGGAGGAGGAGTAGTAGTAGTGCTCGGGTGGGGGACATCAAAATCTTCCGGGCCGGCATGGATGGTGCCAAAGAACGAGAGCACGCACAAGAACCAGAGAAATAACAACAACACATGACCAAATCCAAACTACCACCACCACCGACAACAGCAACAACGAAAGACAGTAATAATCGTAGTCGCCCGGTAGCTGTGCAGCTCTTGGTCAACAGGAAAATGGGCACTTACGCGTGCACCATTGTTGATCGTGGTGCAACTACCATGAACGGTATTTGCATGCTAGGCCTGCAAATTGGACATTGGTCACACACTACTACATCTACTTCGCCAAGGAGGACCTGACTGCCGTGGGGATAGTGCTAGCTGCTAGCTTTGTTTGCCAAGCAGTTTTGGTAGATAAGGGGCCCCCTGTTTGGAGCGCATAAAAAGAGGACGCAAGTACTCGGCGGCTGGCGAGCGTTGCCTCCTCGGGTTGTTAGAGCTCGCGCAACGCGGAGTCTGGAAGTTGCTGCAAGCTTGCTCGTTGTCGTCTCAACATGCTATAAGCAACCCTGACGCATTTCTGGTGGTGTTGGGCTGCAAGAAGCATGGCATTTTCGCTGAGGTGGGAGATGGCATCAATGCCAGCGACATCTCGGGTGGCTGTTCCAATGCCACGAACGGCTCCAATGTGCCACACACTCAGCTGAAGTAAGGCTCGCAGCGGCTAAAGCTACAGGCGCCAAAGAAGGTGCAGGAGGTACAGCCAGAAGGGGCACGCATGTGTTTCTTCTTAAGCGCGAGGTCTGGTTGCCAATTTGATGAAGACACGTCAGCATCGGCAACTTCCAGTTCAACCTCGTCGACCACAACGGCCATAACACAGACGTCTACGACATCTTCCACACAGCATCTCGCCACGACGGGCTTGCTGCGTACGAACCCGCCCGACCCGAGTGCAAGTTGTTTCAAGACCTAGTCTGGCAGCCCTATCACATTGGAATGCCGAGCAATATCAGGACGACCAGGGAACCAAGTCTTCTCAGGCGGTCTTCGGTGTTGGGTTTGGTGCAGTACACCCTTTGTAGCTGGAAGCTTTGTTTGTGAGGACTCAGATATCCTCCACAACATGCCTCGACCACATGCCCGAAATCCCAAAGCCTTGACCAAATCGCCACAGCATCAAGGACACAGACTGCGACCTCAACAACCTCCACCACCACAACAGGACCGAGCCAGCACCTCTGCTCGTTGAGGCAAAACCGGAGAGCAGACACTGTGCTTCAGGATTCACCGCCTTGACACGGTCAGCTCAAGAGCACCCCTTTGTCGACTTGAACCTGTATGCCACGGTCCTTTGGCACTGAGGTGACATGTAAATTTTCGAGATAGAACTCTGTCGGTTTTTTTCTGCTCGCGCCACAGAAGGAGTGTTTCGATGTTTTCAGCTTATCATACGTTTGTGCCTAAGATTCAGCCAGCATACCTCTTCCGTTTTAGTCACTAGAGGTTTTCTGCCGACCATCATACCAGAAGCACTATTTTGATGAATCCAGAATGCTTCAGCGTGTGTGGGCGCTGCCATGTAAAGGAAGGCTGAGCGTGCCTGCAAGCTGAGGAGAAATTGCCGGCGCGCTGTGCCGTCGCGGCCTCAAAGCGCCTGAGGTTTAAGCCCTGCTCTTCCTTGGTGCAGGGAGTGTAGCGGTACAGGCCGCAGACACTTCATGGAAAATGCAAGCGACACCTTTGACATGACATCGACAGCATACGCGGTGCAGGCGACATTTGCAACCCGCAACGGATTCAAGACTTCAATGAACTGGACCCGGAAGCAGACGAGTTCCGGAGGCTCAGATTTCGATCGTCGGCACCAATGCAGACCCCCACCTCCCAGACGACAACATCACACTGTCCAGCCCTCGGTTTCTGCTGGTGGGGGTTTAGGCTTTTGAGTGCCGGATTGGGAGAAGTTCAGTTTCAGCCACCACTGGTATCGTTGAGGTTTCGAGCAGTGTTCCACCCTAAACTTCAAGCGCCACCCGAGCCCTAGTCTCGCGAGAGCCCAAGAAGCCGAGAGTTCCCAGCTAGGACAGCTAGGACTAGCAATTTCGGGATTTCCCAGCCCGAAGCTTCACAAGCAGAAAAGTGGTAGGAGAGACAGGAAGACATGAAGAAGTGTTTGAGGCGGGAGAGCCGTGGTTCCACAACGCAGCCCTCGACTACAGCCACAGGGAACCCAACCAGGAAAAGAAAAGGGGAAAGAACCCCTGTGGTGAAGAGTGAGGAGAAGGCCGAAACCTTGAACGAGCAGGCAGTAAACACAGCGGGGGAGCATGGGAAAAAGGATGGAAGCCGAGCTGCTGACGAGCATGTGAGAAAAGATCGAGCCACCGACGACAGCCCCGATTGGGGGGGAAGCTCCGATGACAATAGACAAGAAGCTCACGACCAACAGTGGCCGTGGGGAACTGCTGGAAGACCCTCTGATGGGGGAGGAAGCACAGGTGTCCTCGCGGAGCGACCAAATGAGCCGGTGGGAAAACCAACCCTCCGACAAGGGCCCAGCGCTGAGTATGGCGGCGGGGGACGCGCCCAGCTGACACCTAGCCCCATGTGGCTGGACGTCCGACGAGTACAAGCACACATGGCCAAAGCGCGAAAAGAGAGAGCACCGAGCAGCTGACGGGGGACAACATATACTTGCAGTTTTTGTACCTGGGGGAGCCCAATGCTTCGTGATATCAGCGGCGACCTTGCAAAAAGTTCTGACTGCCATCTGAAGGGGGACTTGAGTGTAGGTGTGAACTTTCTTAGGCTCTTTGCCACTCTTCGTTCAACTTGTACATCGGGACACAGTGCCCTCAATCTTCGCTTCTTTTTAACTCACCTTGTAGCTCAACTTGTTCCGGCCAACTAACTGATTTTGGGGGAGCACTGCGAGACTTAATTCACCTTCTGTCCCTTCCGTGAAAGTAGCCAGGTCCTGTTCACACGTAACAGGGGGAAACAGCATGTGTTTTCTCGCTACCCCGAACAAACAACATCCCGCAGCTGATGCCTGGGCCCCCTCCTTAGTAATCTTATTGCCCGATGCTTGCATGGTCAGTTTCTGTGTTTGCGCTTGTCAGCTGGGGGATGCCTTTTCTGTCGGCCATGCATTGTTAAGCCACCCTCCGGGGGGCTTCCATGTATAGCCGAGCCTTCTGTGGAAATTACCACAGGGGGGTCCTTTCCGGCAAAGAACCGCAGCTGCGCGCTCGCGTGCGGGGGGAAGGGCCCGGACTGCCCTGACCCCCATGGCTGGTAGAGAGAGAGAGAGCCGTTACTGCAGCGTTATTTGTGGTACATGCACTCCTGTCCTGCGCAGGTCTGTCACAGTCAAGTGTTACTGATTGTCTTGATGATGCACGTCAGGCGATACTGCTGATGAATATGCTTGTTGGTACCGATAGGAAGTTTGCGCGGTGTCACGGTATGTGGCGCTCGGGCTCTGGGATGCAAAGGTGACAGATGTGATGTGGCAATGCAAGATTGTCAGACTCACCTGGTACTTGACATTGTGAAAAGTCACCCATCGGTGTGGTGTGGCGAGCTCTAACGATGCAGCATCCTTTTCGCGGGTGTGCATGCATGCAGCACGAAGTGTGATGTTGTTTTTTTCGGGACGAGCCCGCTCATGGGGAGTTGCCTTGGTTGATTGACGGGAACATTTGTTTCACTCAAAGGGCATGTGCGGAGGTTTCGGGGCCCGGAAACCTTCGATGCTTGTGACTGCTCCAGAACATCCCAGGTCGAATCCCTTGCTGGCTGCCAAGAAACCCGAAGAGGGACGCCTCGATGGGAGCGGCCAGTGCCATGGCCCGCCATGGCTTGTCTTCGTTTTTTGGGGCGCATGGGGGCGAATCTGCTGTTCAGGGTGACAGACCTGTTTTTTGAGTCTCTGTGATGTCTGGGATTCGAGGTCCAAAGCGGCACACAAGGTTGGACTACTCACTCTCAGGATTCATGCTGACAAAGCTTCCAAGGGGTTCCTTTGGTGCGCCAATCGCCAGTTTGGCAATCTGGCGGTTGCTGGCGAAGCAGTCACGGAGGGAGCTTTCGGAGTGAAAGTGTTGCAAGACTGACCCACTGAGGAGAGTGACTCCAGCATCAGTTTGTCAGCGCCGTGGCCCTAACCAAGGTTCTGCAATCTCGTCCTCAGAAAGACAACGTACATTGAGTTCGACTTCGGCACTGACATGCTGTGGCTAGGCCTTTACCTGACATCATCTCGGATCTCCTGAGCCCTGCTCGGAAGCTCCGGTATCAGGGTGTGCGCGGACTTCAACAGAGATTCGATTCGTAGGCAGAGAGTTCGCGTGCCTGTCTCAGCAGATCACAAGCACCAGCAGCGCTCAGGATTGAGAGGATAGAAACCAAGGGCCGTGAGACGATCTTCCAGTGGGCCTCCCGCCTGCAATGTCGGAAGTTTGTACTGAGAGCGCTGTACGAGCTTTTTTCAGTTGCTTGGTAAGCCATTGATGCTGATCACGAAAGCTCGCGTAGCAGGCCTTGAGTGTAGTCTTGCTCTTAGCAGGGGCGCTGATATCTCTTCTTTCCAATAAGGCAGAGGTGTGATAGTCGGGACTATGCGTATGATCGCAGCTGTGACAATGGTGTTCGTGACTTTATTGTGGTTTGTTTGTGTGCATGCTTTTCTGCTCGTTAGTAGTCTGAGTTTTTCCAATGTTGTGCTTGTGCTGGGTAATGGAGCATTGGTCTTGATGAAATTGTAGGGGTCGTGATGGTGACCACCTCATGACGACGCCCCCAACTTGACACTGAAGATGGTAGACGTAGAGGTTTGAGGACGATGTTGGTGGCTCTGGCAGTATCTCGTAAGGCTTGAATCAGATGTCTGTTTGCCACCTCTTTCGAGAGGCCTGTCTTGGTGTGTGCGACGAAACTCGGGCTTGGAGCCAGCTCCCGATCTAGCAAAAAGGGCTCTCACAGCCCTGGTTCAGGTCACCAAGTTCAGCTTGAGCTACACTCGCAATGGCTACACTTGGTTCGATCTGCCGCAGGTGTACGAGGCTCGCATGCGGAGACCATTGCAAGCAATGCAGTGCAGGAAGCACAGTCGACTCAAGGTTTTAAGCTCCATGACAGGTGTTGTTGTATGAGTTCGTTGCGCAGAACCCGGGACCCAGCAGCCAAATCACAAATCTAAAGCCCGAAATGAATTCAAAAATACCTCAGGCCAACAACGACCGGCTCCCTGGTACGCAGCGATTCGTCGGGTTTCCTTTGAATATGGTTCCGGACCGGGGATTCGGGGCTTTCGGCTGTTCGGGTGCTTGTTGTAGACTGGAAGGCTCCATGGAAGAAAAGATAGGGAAGACCCACAGCATCTGGACGTCAGGCAAACCCTCAAGATCTAAGTACTTCGACACCTGCTGAAATGCATGGGGGAGAACAGATGTTTGAAATTTGGAAACCAATTTCCTCTCAAACAACGGTCACATGCAGACAGCGCAAAGGGCAGAACAGCACGTGGAAGATAACATGTTGAAGCAACAAGCGTCGTTGACGCCTGTCAATGTGGCGGAACACGGTCAGGAACACCAGATACGTAGACGTCTTGTCTCACTACTTCTTTTTGCACTCGGTCTTACATGAGCTTCGGGCGTCTGCCTTTCAGCTTGGAGTTTCGCGTTGCGCATTTGTGTTGTGAGTCTTCTGGGGCTGTTTGGATCAGCTGCCAAGTTTTTTTGGAAATGTAGGTTCGTGGTGGTTCGAGGAAGCAGACCATGCCATTACGCCTGGAGTTTCGGTGGTGTCAAGACCATTTGCAAACGGAAGGCCTTTGGCGCACATAGACTTCCTCAGTAACATAGTGCTTGAGATGTCGAAACTGAAAGGTGCTCATGCGTCGTTGCACGCAAGGAATGGGGCAATCCAGCACCCAGGTGACCGGAACAGAAGCAGCCAGTAGCAATTTCGGACGCGGAATTCGGGAACAGTTCCGACACCCTCAACCTGCCAGAACGCGTAGGCAGGATGTTTTGTCGCGAAATACTAGCACTGTTGTCTCGTTCGCTGTTGCCGCCGCTGTGTTGATGGATTGCAGTTAGACTCAGAAACTTGAAATCCCTGCGGCAACCTGCTAGTTTGAATCTGGGAAGCTGGGTCGACTTCAGCCCTGAACCCCTGCACGATTCCTCACGCAGGAACTCCCGACAAACAATATGCGCTTCGCTTCGGGCGAGCTTGCTGAGGACGACGCTTGTGGAGAACATCATCCTTCCACACTCTTTCCTGGCGATGAAGCTAAGGACTACAGTTTTGGGGGTGTTCAACACAAAGGGGAATTCCAGGGAATTCTCAAGTCTTGCGTGTCGCACGTGCCCATGTGTCTGTGCTGTCAGACCGGCCACTTGTTTGCAGGCTCTTCCATAACACCGAGACCTGAGTTCAGCTTGGGGTGTAAACGCTTCAGGGACAGTTTTGGGTGATTTGGCCCTGTGTTGTGTTTTGAAGCTTTGACATGCTTTGACTGAATCCTGGCTGGCAATGTTTCTCCCAAGGCCTATAGACTAGAGCCTTCCGCTTGACTCCGTCCAAACAGCTGCACTCCAAAGTAGCCTTAGTCTCGGCACCGAGCTGCGCAGGCTGAACCAACTCGAGTACTTCTCCTTCCCCTGCATGCGAGCCCGGGCCGGAGTGGGAGAGTGGCCGTGGCAGTTCAGATGGCAGTGCTAGTGGTAATATCGCGGTGGTGGTGGTGGTGGTGATGGTGGTGATGGTGTGGTGGTGGTTGCGGTTGCGGTTCTTGTTCTTGTTCTTGTTCTTGCTGTTGTGCTTGTTGTTGTTGTTGCTGCTGCTGCTGCTTTTTTTTTTGTGGTGGTGGTGGTGGTGGTGGTGGTGGTTGTTGTGGTTGGTGTGCAGGCAGGTGAAGCGCAGCATAGAATGCAGTACTTCCTATGCCCAAGGTCGACATTTTTGGATGCAAACGCGCGGACACGGTGGGCGTGGAAGAGATCAACATCCCGCCGCCCGGGTTATACAGTCCAAACTCGTTCAGTCTGATGTGCGAGCTGGAATGTCGTCAAGACGGTGTCCCCAGGGTTCACACCTGGCTTCTGCAACTTGTGGGATGGATACTCCCCGAAACACTTAACGCACTTTTTCGCGTTTTGACATTTGTCTACGTCAGGCAAGACGACAGTGGTTTGCCAATGAAGTAGGATCCGTCCTGAAAGCATGAGAACCGCAACAGTAAGATGAAGTAAGCCGAACAGTGCTTTTGCACCAGGTTGGAGACGGACTTCACTCCATATGATCACATCCTTTTCTTCATGGCGTCGTACCTGCAGGTGCGCACGACCCAGCAGCCTGGAGGTCATGAAAGGCTCGAGAAGCAGGTCTCCAAGCTTTCGTTGCTGGTCAGGAGCAGAGTACGCCCTTCGCGCACAGGCTGAACGACGAGGCAGGTGCCTGCATGGTGTCGCGAGTGGAAGTGTCGAGTTCGACGGGCAGGATGGCCGGGTGACGGATCTTGCTTTCATCGACCAGGACGCTTCACGTGGAGGGATAGACAGCACCGGAACCTGACAGCCTCGTGTCCCCCCAGAGAATGGAACCAAGCGAGACTATGCAAGCGCACATGTCTTCCCCATCAGCCGTGTCATCTCTCCGAAGAAATATCGTCTGCTCACGGTGGGGGTACTGAGCATCCCGACGGACTTGGCTCGCATCATCCCAGCATGTATCACTGTCGACTGTCCAGTGTTGTTAGGACTCTTGGAAAATCGTATGCGCATTCAACTGGGTGCTGACATCACAGCAAAACGTCTTTGATTCAACGAATTTGCGGTGTAGCTGTTCAGTGTTCCGAGCATTTCTCAGCATAGTACCGGAAGCACCGGAAGTGCGAACATGTCGGGGTTTGAAAAACCGAGCTTCGTTGCAGTTCCGACCAGCAGTGGTGCTATGTGGAGGATTTGGATCAGGAGGAGCTCGGTGGATATGTCACGTTTACGCCGCCACCGGTGCTTTCCAGCAACATCGCATCTTGATTCAACTGACCCAGCAGCAGGCTAAACAGCATTTTGTGTCTATTCCGTCCGGTCCACCCTAACCTCTGCAACATGGTCTCTCTTTGAGCAAGTAAGCTCCCGTGTGAAAACAGTGTGTGTGTGTGTGTGTGGAACTCCTGTTCCTAAGGAGATTGAGTTTGTTTTTCTGCAGTATATATGAAAACCGATTGATAATGCAGGGGGCTGGCAGCCTATTCC